ATCTGAAGCTAAACCAGGTTTACATGTCTATTAGATATGATTTAAACTGGAATCATAGAAATCTGCTATATTATTTGTACTTTATACTGTCTCCACCGCCAACATACTGTCTCCACCGCCAAGGTCTCGTCTTGTAGGATCCCTCTCCCAATGTTGAACAGACTAAAATCCATCATTTGATTATAATGTTTCTCACAGGAAGCTTTGTATAATATGGTCATGCCTCGTTGCCACATTTCATCGGGTGGTAGATCTGCAGGAGAAGTCTAAAACGTAGGCTAACATGCAGCAATGGTTCTGCTGTGAATTCAAAGCCAATTGTTATTTCCCTAAACATTTCCCAAAACATTCTTGCCCAATTGATATTATTTTCCCTGGAATCAGAACTAGGTTATGTGTGGCTCCCTCTTCCTCATCCATTGCATTGAACAGGACTGCTTTTGTGACTATAATGCTCTCGTTTAGGGGAGAAACTGGCCTAGAAAACATTGTGAGATGGTCAGATCATACATGAACATCTAGTCCAGGGGCGCCCACAATTTTTCCTCTGGAGATCTACTTTTCAAATGACGAGCTCAATGAGATCTACCAACGAAAACACACCTGCGTTCAGGGGCGGGAGGGGGGGTGGCGGTGCATTGAAGTCAATGGCACTGCAGCCAGGCCCCTCACCCACAGTGCGCTTGCCTGCACCCGGAACCCAGGCACATTAGTGCCTGCGTTCCGGTCCAGTGCGATCTGCAAAAATGCTGCAAGCACTTGCACACGCGGAGAGGTGTCTCGCCCCTTTCCATCTGCGGCGTCTGACACATTCAGCCAGCAGCCACATGAGCACCGCGGGAGCAGAGCAGTGGCCAGCTCCTTTTGCACACGTGGCAAGAAAAAAAAGACGGAGCCGCTGTAACAGCAGCATGAACAGTGAGGAGAGAGAGAGCCGCCGGCTGTCAGATCCAAGCCGAGCGACTCTCTCTCTCCTCACCGCTCGGCGTGCTGCTGTGATAGCGGCTCCGTCCCCTGCCGCCGACTGCAGCTTTACTTTTCCCCGGATCCCCGCTGCATACAGATGGGGGAGAGTAGCGGGGATCCAGAGAAGACATGACATCGCGATCTACCAGTGATAACTACGCGACCTTCTGGTAGATCACGATCGACCTTATGGGCACCCCTGATCTATAATGCGGTTCTATAATGTGTATGGTCAGTTTGACAGCTTCTGCCTTTCTTTACATACAGAAGATGGGAGACAGCATGTTAGGTTAGGCCAGAAACGTATAATCTTTACGTCAGGGGTGCCCATTAGGTCGATCGCGACCTACCAGTCGATTGCAAAGCACCTCTCACTGCAGGGAAAGGATCGGGAAGTTATCGGATCGGCTGCATGTTTCTGCTCACTTCACGATCAATAGAGCCGACCTTTGACAGCTTCTTTGTCACAGGTCGGCGCTATAACTATGAGGATGAGTGGAAATCACTCACCTCATAGTTCTCCTTTAACACAAGATACACCCAGCATTCACCCGAGATTAACATATTTTTTTAACTGCAGTCAATTGGAAGAATGTGTGAATCCTAGGTGAAAGTTATATGAATTTTATGTGAATATATTCATAAATACCCCCCTTGTCCTTTCTCTTTACCCACCCAGATCCCTTAATATTTTAACATTATGTTAGTCGGTTTCAATATATGTGTACAAGTGCTATACACGGTTACAATGTACAAATACGCAAACATATGTCTGCTGGTGGGCTTACTTACAAGAAGGTTCATATTTGTTCTGAACAAAAATGCCTTTTGTCCAAAATATGCATATGCTGTTAATCCAGTGCTTTCTACCTAGTTACAAATCCATGTGTACTTGTGCTATATGTGTTTTGGCCTTACGCACATGTAAGCACCTGCCTACTGATGGAACAATCTACCGGTAGGCCATCTGCTGGCTAAGGAGGCCCAGTCTAGATAAGACACTCCAAGCTGCAATAGGAGCTTTTCCTGCTCTATTCCTGCATAAGCCGTCCTGTTGATAAATATGCTATAATGGAGAGGGAGAGCGGACAGGTGGACAATGCAAGGAGCATGTTCAATGCTCAAAGTACAGAAGCCCAAAGCAACCAAAAAGAAATCACTCTACTGCGTATTTGTGTATTGGGCGTTCTCCTGTTACAGGGAAATGTAGGTAGTAATTTCAACAGAAATACTGTGGCTACACCTTTGATACAGGGAAGTTACAATTTAGCGCTATGTTTTTACTGAGGTTTTATTGAAGGTCTGGGGATGAGTAGTTAGGATCTAAGAAACATCCCAGCTTGTATCAAATGCACATGAAGTGGAAAAAAATGGGTACATGGTGGGAGGAAAGTTGACCTTCATGCACATGAAAGAATGAAATGACATTGACCGTATTTGCTCAGTTCTCACAGCTACAGCAATCGCCATCTGCCCCTATTTAGCCACATGCTGCTCTCACTCAAAAGTGCCCACAGACATGGCATGACAAGGACCTAATATATGGGTCACCAGCAGACACATACAGCTGGGGCTTTTTTTTGGGTGGAAGGAACCGAGACTACAAAACCTTGTCAGTCACTTTGGTTTTCCTTTTGATAAGTCAGTGTCAGTCTGTCAGAAGTGTCTTTAGTGCACCTCCCCGGCCCCATCCTTAACGTACCTATACACCTTGCGATTATTGTTCGAAAAACGAACGAGATCGGGTTTTCATACGATATTCGGCCAGTTGATGGGAAGTGAACGATCAGAATTACTGTACAACGGGCCGAATTTCCTCGATTGGACATGCTAGAAAACTTTTTTGGAATCGTGCGAAAATCAATGGATTAGTGGCGTTTTGGTACGAAAAAAAAAATCACATGAACACTGCACATGCGCAAAAGGAAATCAAGATGCTTTGCGGCTGCCCGAAATTTTTCACATTTTCGGATGGGAGCACGCGGGGAAGACACGGGTAAGTATTAACCCTTTTCAAATTGTTTTTTTGTACACTTTTCCATATATCTACTGCTTGCTAGCAGTAGATATATGCAAAAACACCCGCGGCTTTAATTATCCTTTAAGTCTAATCATCAACTGTATCACAATGCTACTCTGTGCATTTAGGGACCCGGCAGTTCATTCTGCTAGACCACCAGACTAAACCTAGCAGCTCTGGGCCATTCGGGTCGTGCTTACTGCCCGTGTAAGTATGGGGACAATAGATTGCACAAGAGCCACATACATGTACAATGTGCAACTTGAACTGTTTCATCTATCCAACAAAATTATATCAGTGTAGATAAAATCTGAGTAGGAAGGTTAGGAAGAATCCACACACATGCTGACTAGTGGAAGAGAAGGTCTCAAACGATCTTCCTCTGTCAATAATCTGTGTATAGACGCCTTTTACTTGAGGAAACAATAACTTTTGGTTGGAAAAATAAAAACTGGCCAATAGATCTCCCCCTGAGGTTTATTACTGGGGGGGGGGGTCTTCAGAGATGGAAAGGTGCTGATTTCTGCAAGAATTGGCATTATCTAGTGTCTCTGCATTTAGAATGAAGCTTGTCTGTGGGTATTAGGATGATTATTCAAAACTATGATTGTTCCAACTAAATAGGCAGAAGAGCTTATTTTATATGAGATTTGATTAAACTGCCATTTCACAGTATTCTGGGGTTCAGTATTGCCCCAATACACATACACTTTTTATGGTATGGCCAAAATGGCTGTGCATGATAGAGACGAGGTGATACATGCAATAACATGGTGTACAGGGGTAAAACCATCAACAGCTCAGGCAGTGCACCTGCGCTAGGGCCCACAGAAATGGCCCCTTTACCAAATAACTAGTTGTACAACTCTAGGAGACAGGACCCATTTAAAATGAAATGAACCGATCCCTCTGCGGCCCTGATGCATAACCAAATGCGCAACAAAGTACAAAAAGAAGTCGAAGAGGAGACCTAAAAGATACATTTAAAAGCAGAACACCACTCCAGATGGTAGCTGTGTGTTCAGCAACATAACACAAAGGGTAGAACATGTATCTGGCTTGGCTGCCAAGTCTATGGTGGCCGGAGGGACAAAGTCTAATATTCAAAAATATCATGCTTTATTCATAAGAAGGCTTACACTCAAAAACTAGGTATATATTTTGAGGGATATGTGTATGTATTTGGTGTTAATAAAAATAATAAGATTTCACAGGACATCGTGTCACATTTTTGATAGGGCTAATAAGCCATCAGGCTATGATAGAGTCAAGGAAAAGCTGTCATCTTGCAATTGAAGCAATGTCGTAACAGACATGCAATTCATAAATGTTATTGCAGCACCAAATTAATTTCTATGCAGCGTTTACAGTGACCTACCATGAACTATGAAAGGCATACAACCTCACCTGCATAGTCAAATAACCCTCAAAAAAAATCTGTTTCTCTCATGATTGCTCTTTTTTGACTCCATTTTATAAGCATCATTTACATAAACGTCCCTGTCTCAGTACACCTATGTCTTCTGTATCCTGAGAATGAAACCTGTGCAGTCGGTACAGCCCAGCATTAGAGTAGCTGCAGCAGAAACGGTTACCCAAATCCTGCCCACCTGCATTTTTCAAAAAATGTCATACTTTGTGATTAAGCTTGGAACACGATCACACCTTTAAAGGGTCAGTCCATGCAAAAATTGATATTGCAGTCAAGTGTGGACCCCCTGGGACAAGAAACACCCACTGGTTTCCGATATCACTCGTGTACTCCAGAAGCCAGATTTTCCCTGCATTCTCTGTCATGCAAAATAAATGAAAAATAAAACAAGAAGCGTAAGGCACCCTGGTAGTCGTCACGTCAGGTGGGCAGACTTTGGATCTCAGGTGCAGAAAATGTGCTGGTGGTGTCCATAGAGCCATGGGGTGATCCAACCCATTGGTATCAACCCCACACTAAAATATCCCTTTTGGGTGGCCACTTCAAAGAACAAATGTACATGCCAGTGCAACATTTACTTACCTTCATTTTGCTGGGTATGGGCAACGGGACCTGCTGGGGCTCCTCCAATATGATATGAGAAGCGTCTGGTTTGGTATTGCTTGGCATAGGACCCTGGCTCCTCTCGGGGGCTTGATGGTGGGTAGGTGTAAGCAGTGCTCCTGGGTCGGTTTACCTGCATGTTTGCAGGGTGGAGGGGACAGACCTGTGTCCCTTTAACTGGTAGCTCAACCTCTCCCCTCTGACCATATGGGAAGCCAGGAGAGGGGCCTGGCTGAACAGACATGGAGAGCGTCCAGGCATTGGTAGAAGGACATGGGCAGAAAGTAGTGTTGGGAGCTTAATTACACAATGCCAGCCTATTCCTTGCTTCTCTCCTTACGCCAGATGCCGCGTGATGCAATTCTCGATTTAAATATTTAGAAGTGATCTTCCTGTTGCCGGTGAAAATGCAGTACTCCTATAATCCAAGGTATTGCTGCATCAGCAAGCAGCTGCCTCACAGGGATATCACAGTGGAGTGAGGCAGATGCTGCAGTACCCAAGCAAAGCCAGGCGATTCCTATAGCGAGATGGTCTGTGGGTTCTTCTGTATCACCACAGATCAGTCACATAGTATTTCCAAGCCCATCCTGGAGGGGCTCTGTCCACTGCTTCACCATCCTCCCAATGGCTTCCTTGGGTTCTTAGCCTGATGGCTAATCCATCACTCCCCCCCCCCCCCCCCCCCCCATTCCTCCACAATGAGCAGACTGCTTTTCTTGGAGTAAGGTCAGCTCCTGTATGAATTAGCACCTTGTCCTCAGCTGTCCTGAATCTTTTTTGGCAGAGCTGGGCACCAAAAAAACCCAAAAAACCTCATCGAGGTGCCACCACTACCTCCAAATGCTGCCAGCACCCTTGGGTGCACAATTATACCTTCTGTTCAAGGCAGCACACCTCACACAGGCTTACTCTGCAATATCCTTTGTTCTCCCTGCTTTTGCTAGTGATGGTTTTGGCTTGCAAACACACTCCTGCCTGCAGTTTTTTTTTCTCCTTCTCTTCTTTTTTTTTTTTTCACTGTGTATGTGAAATCTGACTCTCTTTCCTTTGCCGTTGGATTTCACGTCAGATGTATTTAAAATCTGGTCTGGATTTTCCCCTCACACATGGGTTTGCCCACCCCCCATCTCCCAGGAATACTGTCTTTTTTTTTTCATGACTTATGCGGCATCCTGCCCTATTAATGCTATTAACCATTGCTCTGCTGCTGTGGCATTGGGTATAGGATGGTGGAGCTATATTATGGCCCCATCTGGCACCAAGAAGGTGTAGCGTGCATTATAGAGATGTACTCTGTAAATGGAAGCAGACCCTGAGAAGAGGATAGAAGAGGCTGCATGGGAATGATCCCAATATAGCTCCCTGCAATCCCCCCAGTATCAGTCGACAAGAGGACTATCCTCCATATAGGAATACGAGTTAACATCTGTTTCTGAGCTAGATGATTGATCCGTAATAGACCTGTCACAGAACATCTAAGGGCAGTCACACCTTTCCTAGCAAGGAATGCAAATGATATGAACATAATTGAAGATATACCTAAGCAATAGCGCACATTATAAATGTTCCTTATCATTGAGACCATAACCCATACACTGACTAAAAGTCACAAGTACATTGGGATTGGTTGCACTGCCTGAGAATATTAGGCCCTATTTGTTAAGCAATATGTGAAACCATTCAGCAAGCATTCCCTTTTTTTCCCAATGCCAGCAAGACTCAACAATGTGTGATATCAGTGGTGACAATAAGGACTCTATTTATAACCAATTATATTTTCTTTTCAGGTGGAATGTATGTCATGTAATACTGTACTATGGCCACTAGATGGAGCTGAGGAGCATTGGGAATAAATATGTATTTTCTTATGCTCCTCAGCTCCATCCAGTGACAAAAATAGAGTATTACATTACATACATTCAACCTGAACAGAAAATATATCTGGGAATGTTCGTTTTTGCATCTATTCGCATTGAACGAACCTCTCAGAAAGATTCATAGACAGAATGGCTCTGAAAATTGGTTATAAATAGACCCCTTAGTATTTATTAGCCATGGGGTAGCCTGGAACCATTATTGACTTATAATAAAGCAAATAATTTTGCAGTACAAAATGACCAATCGTACACTTTACTGCAGCAGACATGTTTTGTACTAGTGTGCACCTGTAAGCAGGTGTAAGTCTGTAAGCAGGAAAATGTATGCGATCAGAAAAAACAATTGATTTCTTTTAACTAGGTGTATGATGCAAGATAAACTTGGCCAAGACCAAAGATGGGTCCCATGATCTGATATGATAGTCCTTTGGGAGTTGCCATTTATGACTTGTTTTTTGGGGGGGTTTTAAGTAGTATGAAACTCTCAAACTTGTCTTTCAGTGATGAATCCAGATCAAATAAATATACATTCCCCAGCAAAGTATTTATTTTACATTATTTGGACAGAGCAGTCCCCAGCAGCTTTCCATAGTAGCTCAGATCAGTCCCCAGCAGCTTTCCATAGTAGCTTGGAGAAGGAGCCGGGCGAAGGGAATGGGTTGCCTTGCTGTGCCTGTGTATTTGTGGATACAAATGCAAGATCCCTGTTCACCTGCAGGCTGTGGCGTCACAAGGGGGGTGCAGGGACTTTTTTGTGTTTTGTACCATTGCAGGGGTGACACTAAAATGACTGACAGTCATTTTGGTGTCACCACCTCTAAAAAGTCGAGCACTAGGTCATGGACCGAGAGCCCGACAGTGTCAGGAGAGAGGAGGGGACCTGGCGGCATACCTTATCCCGCCGGGTGAACGTCCCCTTCTCTCTCTGCCGGCAACCATAACCAAGATGGCCGCCGGCAGGCATCAAATCAGATGGCCGCGCATGTGCGATGACGTCACTGCGCACGCGCGAGGTGAGGTCACTCACACGCGCGATGACGACATGGCACGGTGTCACCCAGTTTGCAGACCGGGTGACACCCGGCCTCGGGGCACCCCTGCCTACAGGTACCCCACAGAGTGCTCGCCTTGCTCTGCCTGTGTGTTTGTAGATACAAATGCATGGCTCATGTCCACCTGCAGGGACCCCACAGAGGGCAGAAGTTGATTAGAACAGGAAAATGGAGGCGCTGCAAAACAAAGAAATTCTTATTGGTAACACTAAAAGCATCAAAGTGCAAACGTGTTTCAGGGTAATTATCATCAGGGCTTCAGGCATAATTCAAAAGAGGAATCCCTTGGGGAATGGACTAAGGGCACGTTACAATGGAATATGAGGACACGTTCAGCAGCAGTCTGCAATTGGGAAGCTTCCCTGAGCACTTTGGTGCTTTTATTGTTACCTTGGAACTCTTCTTTGTTTTGTGTGTTTTAGAGACACACACACAGCTCACTATTACACACAAGAGTGGCTCCATAGAACCCTGCAAGGTAAAGGATCCACCCTAAAGAGGATGTAAGGGTCATTGCTCAGGGGACCAGCTAACTCTGCAGGTAACAAACTTTTAAACATCAAGGAGCAGCATCCATTGTAAGTGATTTATTCAGCATTTGGAATAACTTAAAAAATGTATGACTTTAATATCACTTTTACCCTGTATATCGCATCCATCCCATCCCATGTATTTTTCCATTCCATGTTTTTCCAACCCATTTCCCATCCCATGTCCATCCCATGTACGTCCCATCACATGGCTGTCCCACTCAGACATCAGCTCCTCTGACTGGTAGCTGGCTGGAGGGACAGGGGTTCAGTAACCGTTTAGAGATGGTGAATCTCTATGCAGTTCCTACTCTCTCCTCTGGTTCCAAAGTAAAATTCACTGCAGGACAGATACAAGTGGATCATGTGCAATGAGCAGCAGTGAAAAAATTAAGCAATCCCTTAGAAGAAATGAACATTGGAGCAAGATATGTGCTCGATTACACAGCACCAAGTGGGCGGGATGACTAAAAGGGAGTTGAGATGATACTTACTGGCAGATGCAACACCCAGATATATAACAGCTGTGTCTGGACCCTACCAGGCCTAGTATGTAGGTGTGACAGTTGTATCCCTATGGAAACTGCTCACCTCGCCACATCTTTCAAACACATCATTTAGGTAAGATATTCATTATATGGAGGCAGATAATTGATAGAACTAATGCGCTCGTTGTCTCCGTTTGGACTGTAGCTGAAATATTACGTGATATTCTAACAGATGTGAAGGACGTTTAAAGGGCCAATATACCTTTAAATTGGAGCTTCCCCGGACAGAAGTATGGAAGCCGCCACTTCCACTTTGTTTATGATGGCGCAGATTCCTCATTCTTGCTACACCACACAATGAGTTATTGATCCAGAACAATAATGTAGGTCAGGAGTTCCATCCGCTCTGGCTATAGTGAATTAAAGCAGAACTTTCATTTAACTGTCTCACAAAACAGTTACTTTGAAGGCCTCATTCACACTGTAATCGGCCCACACATACAGCTCCGTGCTGCGTGCAGGGCCGTATCGGGCAGCTCCCGGGAAGGACAGGTGCTGCGTGTGATTAGTACGCAGCCCTCGTCCTTCTCTATGGGACTACGCGCTCGTACACCCCCCTAAGCTCACCTCAAGTGCAGGTCCGTAGTGGTGCTTGTTTCCCGTTTCCATCCTGTGCAGGGCGGGTGAGCATAGGGGGTGTACGGCCGCGTATTGCCATAGAGAAGGAAGGGGGCTGCGTACTAATCACACGCAGCACCTGTCCTTCCCGGGAGCTGCTCGATACGGCCCTGCACGCAGCACGGAGCTGTACGTGCCGGCCGTTTCTAGTGTGAATGAGGCCTTCAAGGCATGCAAACTGTCAAGGTTGCCAAGGTGCTTATTTCAGCTCTTAACCCAACATTCAAACCCTCAAATCCCGGTATCAAAGCTGACCACATGTGTAGCACCATGGCAACTGCAATCTACAAAGAGGCTAAGATGGTACCTTCCTTGGCTGTAAAGAAAAGAAGAGTGTACTTCTCTTTTAAGCTGGCCAAAAATTTTCAACCTGCTCTTTCAATTTTTTTTTTATTGTTACGGTCGAAAAAGATCGTCGATTTGACCCCATCAACTACTGGTGGACCTCCTTGGAAATACAAGATTGTTTTCTGGCAAGTAATGTCAAAGTAAAGCTGTTAAACCAGGGGTAGGAAACCTCGGCACTCCAGCTTTGGTGAAACTTCAAATCCAATCGTGCCTCCCCCGCTAGGAGTCATGCCTGTGGCTGTCAAAGTATTGGAAGGCTTGGGACTAGTAGTTTCATCAAAGCTGGAGTGCCGAGATCATCTACCCCTATGTTTAAATATAATCCGCACTCACATGGGCATTGTATGTCTGCAATGTGCAGGGATGAGTAGAGAGTGAGATGAAAAGTAATGCAAGTGCTCTGTGTCCTCTACAAAGTGAAGCAGTGCCAAGCCATGTACTAAGGAAGGAAGCCCCACAGTTAAGCAGGAGCAACAATAGGTTTGGGTGTGTACCAGTGAACCATCGTAACCAACCAACAGGCTACAGACATTTT